GTTCCATACCACCCGATTAAGTCTTTGTGTCATTCAGGGACCCAGATTAATTAAAACAACAACTAGGCAGAAACCTTTTACATAACTTATTTCCACTGTTCTGCCCACTCTGATCACTGAAATGGAAAAGGAAAGCTAGTGCAAATCCATATTGAAACCGAAGGCAGAAACGGGCTCCATTAATATTTGCTCCTCTTATCGGAGCAAAAAAAAAAAAAAAAAGCTTACCTTAAACTGAAAGACAGGAAAGAGTGTCTTCTTAATTTTTTTTTTTTGTTAATAAGTTGGGAAGTACTTTTTTTCTTCTGGGAAAAATTTTTTCAAATAGTTCATGTACTTCTGTATGTATTCCTGCATTGATTATTTCTTGTTTATACAATAATACTGCTTTTAAATGAATTTCAGAAAAGCCTGCTCCAAACACACATGACCCCATCCCAGAGACGACACATTATTGTTAACAATTTGCTGAATAGCTTCTTGTTTATTTTTTGCTTATATGATTTTACTACATAGCTTTCACTTCATGCTGCTGTGTTATCTGCCTGTGTCTCTTAGTAAATATTTTGTGAGCCTATTACTATTAACAATGCCCCTCAGTGAAACGAGTATTTTGCCTTTTTTATTGTTGTTTCTTTCAAATTATCTGCTGGCTCTCTGAGGTGAGGAATGCTGTTGTTCGACATTAATGTTTATTTATTATTATTAGTTTGCCGTTTTCAGGTTCCTTTAGTTGTAATCATCAGGGAGGAGGCTGTTGGTGGGCTCCTGTTAGCAGCAGCAATCTATTGATAAAACCTCCTTGCCTGCTGCTTATTACTACATGACATTAACCCAAAGGGATAAAAACAGTTAAGTGGGATTTGTACACAGTTCTCCCCTGTGGCTTTAGAGTTGTTCCATGTTACTCTCGTAGGTTTTGGTACCTGGGCTTTACAATAGTCTTTTTTTTTCAGGTTCAAAGTCATATGGTTTCAGTTTCTGTAAATCTGATGGCTGGAATGTAGTATTTGTCTACTATATCAAATTGAAGACACTAGATTACTGTTCAAGGAATTAAAAAAATAGCCAAAGGCAGGGCAACTCAGAATGAGGCACAGACTCTTAAGAATTACGTACTCAGTTGAATTCATGGCCAGTCTGAGCCTGTTGACTTCAGAATACCATTGCCAGTGGCATTTTTTCCAGTTATTTGATGGCTATATTTAAATTTCTTTGTTAATTATGATGTGCGATTAGGCTGGATTAGTGTTAGATAGCATATTTTTGAGTATATTTAACAGAATATGTATTTATTATAGAGCAACTACAGTCTACAGTAGAAGCCTAAAACAGCTTTCCTCTTTAACACTGTACTTTATATACTGAATGAAATATTTGTATATATAGTAAGGAGAGGTTATCCTTTTTTGGACTCTTAAAATATTGATAATTTGGTAACAAAGTATTTGTGGATATGCATCCTCCATAAAACTTGGCTTGATTTTAGTAAGTGCAAAACTCTATCAGAGACTTGTAATACTATATTTCTTGTAAAAATATTTAGGTATCAAATTATATCTAGTTAATACAGATCTATGCCTTAATTATTCCAGTCAGTTATCTGTTGACTTTTCAAATGCAAACATCATAAAACAGATCTTGCCTGGATAGATCTATTCACTCAGAATTAACTCTGGCAAGTTAATACCAATGCAACAGACAAGTAGATTGGTAATTGCTAGTGATTAGAATTGATAGTACAAATTAATTGATTATAGTGTAATTCTTTCATTTTATGTGCACAGAGAGCTAGTTTGGCCTCAGGATAATTGTGTGGTACCAATAACTCCACATAATTTAGGAACAATTAAAATAAATCTGATTAGACTATGTCAAGTGAGATTGGATATTAGAATTATTTTTTTGTTGTTAAAAGGTATTAGTTTGAGTAATTTTACCAATATGCTCAAGATAATTTCTAAAGATTTTTTAGCAGAGTGTAAACCAGTTTGGATAGTTTATTCATTTGTTTTTTTGCCATCTCTGTCTGTGCCTACTTGGAGAAGTTTGCATTTTTAACTAGGAACTGATTCCAGTTCTCCTCCAAACACAAACCAATGTGTTTTCCATGAAAACACTAGGTCCACCCTGCAATCGTCCGTCTTCAAGCAACAGAATACAAGCTGCTCCCTGTTCATGTAGTGTCTATTCTGGCAGATCTCTGGACAGTTGTCTTTTCTCAGAAATGGTCCTTTCTAGGGATGTGTTCCCACCCCTGCTATCCTGGTCTGCTTCTTCTGATGTCCTTGAGGGAGACATAGAAATGGCCTATCAAGTCAGCACAATGAATGACTCATGATAAATGTTCAGTGAATTAATAAACACATGCATGATATTTGGACGTCTTAAGGTCAGAGCCTAATGCAGTGGAGTTAAGAATCTCAAAAAAGAACGTAAGACACAGATATTTTAAAAACCAAGTGGAGAGGGCCGGGGATTTACCTGAGTGGCTCTGCCGCCCATCTTGCAAGCGCAAGGTCTTGAGTTTGATACTCAGTACACCCCCCCGATGGAAATCCAATGGACAGGAAACACCCTTAAATTAGAAGATCCTGGATGTGTTAGGTCCCAGCATATTGGTACTTTTTGGCAGGAAAAAGGGTCTGTAGTACTTCAATTCAATAGTGATGCCCTTATCCAAAGATTCTCAAGAGAGGGCACTATAAAAATAAAAACACATTCTCTTTGGATATCTGATAAATAGTTACATTTGTAGCAATAACAGCAAAGTCACATGACCTTGGGCTAATTACTTAACATATTGTATCTCACTCCTTGTATAAATTGGAAACAGTTATGGCACCACTTTGGAAGGACATTATAAGATTTAAGGGAATAATTTCATGTGAAATATTTAGAACAGTCTCCATACATAGCCTTCATTCAGCTAGTTGGGTAATGTAATTCTATATCATCATCATCATCATCATCATCTTTTACTTTGTCCACAAGAGAAGTGGTAGTACTAGAGACAATTAAACTGTTCCTACCTTGATGGTCATTATCTAGGTTTTGCAGGTTGCATTAGGCAAAGGCAGAGGAAGGGAAAGGAGCCATTGCTGAATTAATGCTTTCAAACGGGCTAATGACAGCTTACTGAAGGATTAGCAGAAGGCACAGGTAAGAGGCTGCAAAGTGAGGATGATGATTCCAAATAGAATGATCTAAGATGATATATTACTTATGTGGCGAGAACTAGGCTATGATAATGATGGCACAGCAGGAAACATGATACAGGCAAAATAAAATAAAGTGAAAGGAATTAGAGAACATTAGGAAGTTCACGAAGTAAAGAGATATGACAGCGAAGGAAAGAGTTAGATGAAATGAGGTAGGGAGGCTGCAGAGACACCAGGGCCATGAGGACAAGAAGCAAGGGAGAGATCCTATTTCTTTTGGAAATTGGGCTGGGAGTTTTAATTTCTTTGGACTCGCATTTCAAAAAAATATCAATTTCTTTGTTTAACCCCCTACGCCATTTAATTACTAACCTACTCATGTTTCCATTTCTCCTGGCCTTTTGTCTATCTTCCTGTTTAGCACTCTTCCTCCCACCAATGACATTGTCTGTGTCCCTTCCATGCTTATCAGTGCCTTAGCCCGTTAGCTTCCTGTCATCATCTGCCCCTATTACATTTTCTTGAACGCTGTCACTCATCCAGAGGGAAAATAGATAGAGATATATTTTTTTCTGAGTACGGTTATGCCAAAGGGAACTAGAAATGTGTACCTTAGCTATGACATTTTCCTTGTGGCGTTGTCTGATAGAATTTTCGAAAAATAACTAAATGCAAAACGGTTTCTACTGGAACTCTGCATTTTAAATGGCAAGCTGAAGGACACTGCCCTGTGTATATTTAGAGTGGGTTTCTAGCTCTTCAGTTTTTAGTTGTAACCCATGGCCAAGTGGGTCAAGTGAAGAGTGGTCAAGGCTGTTTAAAAGGGTTGTCAACTAAAGAAACTGGAAAGCACAATTCCTTTGAATCTGTATCATACTGAGAAAAAGATTGTTTAGTGCTACAGTCAGGTGTACTGTAGGATGAAGCGGGGAGTAGCCTTTTATCCCTCGCTCAGGGGCTCCATTGGGTTTTCTACTTCTTGGATTCCCACACAATAGTAAAGGAAGCTTTGTGCATGCTTCCTGACTGCTGGGGGTTTGGGATGAGGGTACAAGCCAGACATATGGAGTCACATAGCCTCAGTTTAAATTCTCTCTTCCCCTCTTAACTCTATGATCTTGTTAAGAGGACAGGTGGAGGAATAGACAGAAAAGTAGACTGAATTCGAGGGTAAAACAAGAAACACTAGAAAAAAGTCAGGTTAAGATCAGAATTTGATGTGTTTTGTTTTGTGTGGTTTGGTTTTGATTATTTATTGGGATTTCCAGGACAATATAATTGGATAAATGGACTTAGTGGTCATGGGCAAAGTAGGAACTTTGGGAAAAATAGAAACTTCCATCATTGCTACATAACTGTTGGTCATGTTTTGACAAATTTCTATATAACATTTATTAAATATTTCTCATGAGATATTATGCAAAAAGACATCTGTCTGTGTTTATAAAGGTGTATCATCATTTCACGGCTGCATGTAATTTCCTGTGGTCACTAATCCTATGGGGATTTTACAGCTCTAGGGATGATCTGTAAGCTACAGAGAAAAACAAGTCTTAAGCCAAGAGCTTGGACATTTACTCATAGATGCCTGTAGAAATGAGAGTGGGCTGCGAAGGAGTGAGAACACATGCTTGAAGCAAGATGGAGAACAAGTATCCTACAGTGCTCTATGTTGGGGTATTGAAAATTCAGAAAATGTTGAGGTGGGGTCATGTAGACTGATCCCAAGGGGAAAACCCTTCAGATTTGGAAATAATGATATTATTGTTTTCAGAAAACAATAAAAGCTGGGAATAGGAATAAACCAACTCTTGAAATGTTGGTAATGTTAGAATGGAGCTGGGATACTTGGGAGAGATTGGATATGCTGGAGACAGTGGATATAAATGAGAATAAAATACTGGGAAATTCAGGATGCAGTCGGATCCAGCACACAAGAAGCTTTCTCCTAAAAACAGCACTGGTTCTTCAAGAAAAAGGGTAAGAAGGAGAAATTTACTGAAATGAATCCTTGTGAAATACAGGACAGGAACAGTGAGGCAACTCTGTGGTTTCTATCTTGTCAGTGTGACAGAAAGTAGAAATTAGAGGCTGGCAGAGATTAGGGACTTGAAAAACCTGTGAAAGCACAACTCTAACAAATGCTTTAGTTAGTAGAAATAGAAATCAATAGTTGTACAAATCCTGATAAAATATTGTGATTTTGTAGTCTATCTAATCAGTGCATTTGAATTTGGCTGGTGGTTTTGTCAAGTATTTATACCGGCTCTGTTCTGGACTGGAGCTTGTGAAAGATGCAAAAAAGAGGAAAGAAAAGAATACAAACAATTAGAGGCAGGTGAAGGAAAAGGAGACTTTAGAAGAGTCATGGGAGAAGTATTGAATTGCAGGCAGCACTTGCCTTAAAAAACAACTAGTATATTATTCCTAAAAGTTGCAAAATAGATAAATGATGGAGTATTATTTCCATTATAAAAGGATTGTTTATGTTACAGAGAAAAGCGCAAGGTTGGTTTCCTTGGATGCCTCATTGTTTATTTAAAATACAATTTGCCTGACAAAAATTCAATTTGCAAGCTTGTTTCTGGGACACACCTATTATCCACAGTGAGGTTTACTTTCACTGTTTTGTTTATGCAGAAATTAAAGCAGGAGTGGGTAGTACATAGATTTAGGACTTAGTCGATCATCACTTTATTTGCTGGTGCTGAGGATGTGATTTTCGGTGAGCATTTAAAACTCCATTCTGTGTTCCCCTCATTCATAAAACCAAGAAAATAATCTCTGCCTATTTCAGAGATGAGGATTATTTTACCTAAGTGATGATTAATGACCTGATATCAGTAAAGCAGTCTCAGCTTCTTGCAGATAAAAAGTACGTGTCCTGAGATTTCTGTATTAGTCCATTGTTTTTTCTCCATGGGAAGCTTAGCCGATTTGCTACAATAAAACCTTGGGATACTTCCAGGGGGCATAGAATTTAAAAATGTATTTCATACTTTTCTTTTATGAATATTACCATGTAAAATTAGGCAATTATATAAATTCTTTTCTATCATGAAATTTTTTTTAAAGCCATAAAGGACAGACTTGAGAGAAATGAGCTGCAATTCCAGTGACGAACAAGGACATGTGAGAGTGAACAAGTATTTCCCTTTTCTTTTTTTCGTAAGCATTGTACCCGATAGCTTACCATTATCAGCAGTAATTACTGGTCAGTGTAAATATTCTCTTTCCCAATATAATTTTATTATTCTGTTTGTGAGACTTTTCCCTAATATTTCCAGTGAATTCTTTTTACTTTAGTACAGCAAAATCCATGTTTGTAGTCAAATTCATTTCTTTCTTTCAAAGCCACACACACACACACACACACACACACACACAACCCTTTTCAGTAAAAAAGCAAGCCATAAAAGCCTGTGATGTTAGCATTTCTTTTAAAATGTATGCCTTAGTGCATTAATATCAGTAATCCCAAATACTGTTATTCTATAATTTACTAGAGATTACTTTGCTTTAGAACATACTACTCTAGCTCTTTTGGCTTTAGGTTAATGGGCAAATAATATATGGTTTATTTTCCTTTGCAAAAAGTCTTTATAAACACACAATGACATGAAACATACACACACACACACAAGAGCAAGTAACGCTAACTGCATATTCCAAAGCAGGCTAGAATAGCTCACAACAATTCTCGAAAGGAAAAAGAAGCCACATTTTCATTGTTCCTGACAATTAAAAAAAAAATCCATAAAACAGAAAAAATATCATGTCAACCCTTATTTATTTTACAAGACTGCTATACACATGCATTTTTCTAGAAATTGCTTTGGATTTCATGGTTAAAGGAACATGTAGATATGATATAAGCTCCAATAATTTTGATGCATACATTTATTTACTAGTATCATATTAAATACAATGTTTTAGCAATAGAATGAGGCAGGGAGAGATGGTGGCCCAAGGGCTATCAGGAATGAAGTGGTGTTGTATAACTGTTCTGAGGTCAGAGGAAAATGCAAAGAACCAAGGAGGATTAAAGAGACTCCAGGAAGCCTTAGGAGACCCATAGGAAAAAGAGGGACAGAGAGAGAACTGGGGGTGGGGGCAGAGAATGAGTGCAGCAACGGGGGAGCATTATTCCATCAAGAGGACAGATTGGAACTTTCAATGTATGTAAGGATTTTATACTGATATAGACTAGGAAAATAAGACTACAAATTATTATTTTTTTTTTAAAGAGTAGAGGTCAAGGGAGCATATTACCATGTATTTAAAAAATACTTCATTAAAAATAATTCAACTAGACATTATGAAGATTTGGAATATTGAGAAGAATGCATTATGTTAAAAACAAATTTACCCGTGTTCTAGTTTTTGTATAACATTTTTCCCAAGCAGGTATAAACAATACACATTTTTATATCAGGAAAAGTATCAGTCCAGTGCATGGTTACTACTAGTAAATGGAAATAGAATATTATGTTGGGTATACAGGTGATAAATAATCAAAAATTATTTAAAAATCAGATATCTAGCATCTTCCAGCATTGTATTTACTATCATTTTGGAAAGGTAAAATGAATTTGGGTGTAAATAGGTAGCCCAAATTAAAATAAAACTATAAGACTTAGCAAGCCTAAGCAAATGGGTACAATATTAATAAAAATGATTATACATTTCCATTGCTAAGACAGAAAATGTTGATTACAAATATAGCCACTTGAGATACATAAACAATTACATACTAAGCTTTTGGTTTTAGTCATCTTGGAAAATAGTATCATTATCTTGGTAGTTAAAAGCTATTTTGAAAGTGTATCCCATAAAGTCTAGAATTCTACATGTCCTTATTCATTTGTCAGCATCATTTCCCTTAGTTCATAAGATCTTTTCCTGTGAGTGTTACCCCCTTCCTATAACATACTATCCACAGTGCTGGGCATACAACATGCAGAAGGAATTTTGGGAAAATTGGTTCCTACTCAGATGCTTCTCTTGACATTTGAGCACTCCTGAACATGGGTACTGATGCACTCTGGATGAGAATAAGTTAGCATTGATTCATGTGGGAATGACTTCCTATTTTTTTTTTTTATTAAATGACATTCATTACATTATTCTGGCATGCTAAGAGGCATAATACAAACAGTTGTATAAATCTACAGAATGACCTCTTCCAGAGTGGAAACAAAGACTGTTTCCAAATCTACTTTTTTCTCAGTTACCACTTCAACTTTACAAACCCCAATCATTAGGTAACAAAGGTGAAATTATAAGAAAGGACTATAGTTTGCCTCGGCAAATGAAAGACTCTAAGTTTATGTCTTACAACATCTTTTCTTTTTAGCACTATAAAAACAGATTAACAGAGGAAAATGTGGCAGTAGGTGCATATTTTTAAATGAAAGAAATTGTTCCCCAGAACTTTTCAATAAGAGAAAGCATGTGACCTCCTTTCTGTGAGACCCACAGTACAGTAAACAATTGAATCCATATTCAGCCAGATGCTTCCAGTGTGTAAATTACTCCCTGGGTAAATGTTAGGCACTTTTGGAGCTGCATTAACTCTTTCAGGCTTCGAGTATGCAATTTAGTAAATTACTGCTGCCTGTACTTAATGGTGCTCCAGGGACTGAAAAAGATTAATGTAGCTCCAGAAGTGCCCAAGTTACTCTCCGGGAGAGCATCTGACTCAATGGAAGTAGCTTGTGTCTAATCATTCTTTGCAAAAGAAGGTATGCTTTAAAATAAAGTTACCTTCCTCCTCAATACTCTGCGCCCCCTCCCCAAAGCCTACGTTCAAAGCATCTGATTCTCCCCCCTATTCTGACAAGATTTATTTTTGGAAAGGTTTTCTCTGACCTTTTTTCTGCAAAACATCATGGTAGCTATTAGTTCTTGTTCAACGTGGTCTTTTTGTCATTTCGGCTCAGTTGATTTCATTCTGCTTAATCGCTTCCCTGAAATTCCCTCCTCTGAAATCATCCCTTACTGTTTTTCTTATTATTGCTTTGATAGCCATCGTCTTTCTTTCATATTGTTTTCTCTTTTACTCCCACTGATATTTATTATGGACCCCAGCTTGGCTCCCTCCTGGTCTCCACACCCACAGGGCTTTATTGATCTCTCCCAGGTTTGAGGTCTTACGTGGGTGTGATCTGCTCCTCCAGGCAACCACCCACTGCCCCTTTCGTACTCCCTCAAATTCGATTCCAGGCTATGGGTTATCTGAAATTGGACTTCTCGTCACCAGTTCGGTGTGTAATGAAAACATATGGAGCCCCTCTCACAGATCAGCTCATCACGTCTCATCTTCTCCAGCCACAGGGCTTCTCATCAGAAGCTGAGAGCAAAAACTATTCTTACAATAACACTAAACTTTTACTTTCCTCCCAAAGCATGTCCTTACAGGCTCTTGTGACCTTCCCCAGTCCACTTTATTCAGTGTCACTTTGGATTATTTTTATCTACGCCTTTTTAAAACACCAACGATGTCTAACGATAAGCTCTCATTTTATCTATTTTCACAAAAACCTACCTAAGCTCAAACCCTCTCCAATTACTATCTGAATGAATGCAAGCGATTTCACATTTTCTCTTTCTTACATTTTATATAGACTTGTTTTTCTACACAATTAATTAAAAAGTGCAGTACTTATGTAATCTATTTTTGATATCTAGTCTTTCTTACCTCTGTGTTTTGGTGTTGGTATATTTGAATATGTGTGTTGATTGCATTACGTAAATTGTTAAGATTTAGAGATTACATTTGTTATGTTTTAATTATATGTATTCATTCTATAGATCCTAAAAAATAAGTCCCATAGGTCCTGTAGTCCCTCTTCCGAGCCAAGCAGTAGTTGAGGTGGGTAAAAACATTATAGGAGCATCAGAAAGTAAATATAGTGTGAGAATTAATGAAATGCATAAATGAGTTGTGGACCTAATGAAGAAGTTGGTACTAAATTGTA